AGATTGATGTCCTACTACCTCCTTTGAGTTCATTCCCAGTGACCTTCAAATTCCCATTAAGCCTCTCCTCTTAAAAGTTCTGTCACTTCCCATAGCAAAGCTTTTAACACATGGGTCTTTGGGTGGGGGGATCATTAGAGATCTGAACTACAGCAGTAGCTGAGGAATATGGCATTTTAAAATTTCAATCTTCATGTTTATGTGTATATGTTCATATTTCCAATTTGTCAATAAATTATCCCAAGACAGCATCTCAGACAATTTTTTGGTTGCCCTTTAGGCTCTCTTTAAACTGAGAATTTAAGGCCATAAGGTGCAGTTCAAAAGATGCTACAGAGTTTCCAGAGAAAGATGGTCAGGCATAGAGAAATTATCTTTTCTGCCCAGGTCTTAAATTTTGCATGACTGTCCTTACTCAGCTCTACCTAACACCCCAAATGTCTTATTTATTCTCTTTTTATCTTCTTTTTATTTTGCAATCAATGTTCTTTAGACATCCTAGTAACTTTTGGTATCCCATTATTGCCCAGTTATAATCTCTTTAATTTTTTATGGTCCAACATAACTTACAATTATTTTTTTTTCAGGATTTTTGGTGAACAATAGAGTCATAGCATTTGGAGTAAAACATCCCAAGTGTGTGAATTAGTCAACGGGCCAAATATTTGAGCATAGAATTTCATAGAACAGTATTTATTACCCCATGAAGATATAAAGCCATTGTCACATAAAACTTGGCTCTTTCTACTGAAAATACAGAAAATTTTTATTTTTTGAGTCTCTTCTTCCCCCATCCCTATCTCCCCAGACTGCTACAATTTATATAACATTCTTCCCCCAAAGATGGGCCTTCTTGCTCGAATTTCTCAAGTTTGAAAATCCACTTCTATAGGACATTTTATCAGACTTGAGGAGTCATGTAAGACAGAGTATTATTTTATTTAGGTAGAATCCAGAGGGAGGGAAGATCACACCAATATTTGTGTGATCTTCTTATTGTTCCCTTAATATAAAACTGAGTGATGTAGTTTATTACACGAAAATACAAAGTACAGCCGGGGTGTAGTGCACAATTCTGTTCTAGTCTAACTTTTTTCAGGCTTTCTATTGGGTCTCATTTTGCTCCTGACCCCTCCCCACCATTTTCCTTCCTTGGTGTCTGGAAGAGAGACCATATTTTAGTTTTCCCTTTTTTGCATGACTCCTCCTCCTTCTCCTCTCATGCTTCTTTTACTTTCCTTAGTCTCCCACAACAGGGTATTGAGTCAATTATATTAACAAAAACTGTTGTATATATTTAATTATTTCCTATAGAGAGAACATATGGTTCAAAACAGAATACGTAGATACAAATGTACATACATATTAGCAAATTTGAGTCTCAAACTTTAAAAATTAGGATACTATCAGTTCTTATATTATCAGGTCTGATTCTTCTGCATCTCAATTGTTCAATGAACTATGCTTTGTGGAAATATCAAATAATAGAATCAGTCTAATTTATTATTTTTAGTGATCATGTCATATTCCATGGTGTAGATGAAGATATACATATTTATATTTATATTGCACTACAGACAATTTGTTTCCATTTTTTTTTCAAACATTGTTACAATAAACAATTGTGTGCTTATCATCTTATAAACTAATAAATACTTTTTGTATCTTGGTATTAGAGTTGGGGGAACATGTGGATTCTGATGAAACTCTAAGAATGATAATCACTGTAGTTTGGTTAAATTAAGACAAGTCTAAAATAAGCCAGAAAATAACTTTCCCCATTCTTATGTCAACCCTTTCTCATCATTGGATGGATAATTTACCATTAAGAAGCTATGATCATTTCTTTGTTCATCTGTCCATTTGTCCTTTTGAACACCTACCCATCCATTTATTCATCCAAGCATGAGTTGAACAGTACCCTGCAACTAACATTGTTTTAAGAATAACATAAGCCAGGCACAGTGGCACACTCCTGTAATACCAGTGGACTGAGAGGCTGAGGCAGGAGGATTGTGAGTTCAAAGTCAGCCTCAGCAACTTAGTGAGGCACTAAGCAACTCAGTGAGACCCTGTCTCCCAAAATAGAACACACACAAAAAAGGCTGAGGATGTGGCTCAGTGGTTGAGTGCCCCTGGGTTCAATCCCCAGTTCCCCCCCCCAAAAAAAAAAGAGAATAATACAAAACATAAAAGACATATGTAGAGGAGGTTATGATATAGTGGAGAATTGACCATAGGTGTAGGAATAGCTGTGAATAGTAGGGGCTGGCCAACGATTGGATAGAGATGCAAGGCACTGACCAGGGTCCTTATTCTTTCTGTTTGGATCTTACTCATTCTAGGGCTACGAGGAAGTCAGTTCACCATTCCAAACCTCAGTTTCCTCATCTGCAAAATAACAGAATGTACCTAGATTAGAACTGAAACCTCAGGACACCTGTAGGACAAATTTACTTCATAATCATCTTGACTGTTTTTACAGTTTTTCTAAAACAAACAAACAAACAACAATAACAAAAAAAAAACCTCCAACATTTTAACATTTAAAAGCTCCTTTTTTTTTTTTTTAAATAAAAGTAGGGATTTTCACCAAGCACAGACACAGTGGCACATGCTTGTAATTCCATGCTGTATCTTTTAGGGAATAATAACAAGGAAAAAAGTGTGTAAACTGGGAGGTAATCGTAGCAACTTGGAGGCTGAGGCAGGAGGATGGCAAATTCAAAGCCAGCCTCAGCAATTCAGGACGCTCTAAGTAACTTAGTGAGACCCTGCCTTGAAATTAAAAATAAAAAAGGTTGGAGGTATAGCTCAGTGGGAAAGCATCCTTGGGTTCAATTTCCAGTACTGAAAAAGAAAAGAAAAGAACAGATTTCCAGGTTTTCTGAAGAAACTATGGGAAGGTTTCTGAAGAAACTATGCACGGGTCAGAATACCTAATACACTGCAGCAAAGGAGATCAGTTCTTCTACTGTCTTACTATGGGAAAAGCTACTTAAAGTTTACTATATTAACACACCACTTCCACAAAGTAAAAATTGGTTAACGCTGGGTACCACCTGACATTCCAGACAAGAAAATGTCTTTACCACAGTCTCTACCACTCCCTAAAGTCATCCCAGGTGAGTGCTCAGTAACCAGTTATCACTGTGCTAGTGTGGTTGATTTTTCTTTCAGTAGGTAGTCACGTGGCTTGCATCGATAGTGAGGATACAAAGTATCTAGGGAGAACTCAAGATGTAAAGTGAAATCACAGTGTATTAAAAAAAAATCTCTGAAAATCCTTAAAAAAAAAAAAACCTTTAGTGAGAAGGCTGCACTTTTTAAGAAAAACGGAAAAGATTATGCAAGGAGAGACAAAGTCAGGAACACTTATAGATTTTTCCTTTGTAAACAGAAGCTCTGTGTTGAAATCTACACCTGGAAGTCCGAGAGAGTTCTGGGATCAGGGCTTCAGGGTATTGCTGAGTGGCAGCTGGCCTCTCCTCCCCCCATGCAAGCCCTTGTCACTCTGCATTAGACACGGAGTATCAAGCTGCACCAGAGGAGAGCAGGTTTGGAGCCAGCTCTGCAGAGAGGGGGGAAGAAAAGAAACAGACAGAAGGAGAGCAGAGCAGGCCCTGCTATTCAGAGAAACTTCTCTGCTCCTGCAAAGACTGTCTTGGAAAGCTTATGGTCTCTGATTTCTATATGGTTCTTGGCACATCGTTTTAATCAAAAGAAGAAAAGGAAACACTGCAAAGACTTCAAACCCTAAACACAACGAGCTGGCAAGGGAAGATAGAGTTAAGTCATTCCAATAATATGCCAGGCTTAGAATAACAACATCTGTTCCTGCAGGACAGCTAGCAGAGGATTAAAAACAAGAAAGAAACCTTAGATTTTAATGCAAATAGATTTACTGACTGGACACTTGAAACTCCTATCAGAGAGCTCAGAATTATTGTCAAGAGCATGTCCCTGCCGGATAGCAGGCAGCAAGGAGCTAGGCACAGCAGTGAGAGACTTGGAAATGACCTCTGATGTCCATAGTTAATAATTCATGTAGAGAAACACTTTGGTGCGTTAGAAAGTATCTGGGGCACTCCTGATAGAGCATCAAACCCCCAAGAGACTCCGTTCCCCTCAGATAGGAGAGATGCTAATGATGCTGTAAGTAGATCCATGAACATTTGCCCCAGGTATCAAGGTAGCCCTTGGCTACAAAGCTCTCTCCCTTTCCTAATATGCTTTCAGTTCTTTGATTTCACCCAAGAGAAATCCTCAAGTAGGTGTTAGTTATGAATACCTAACTGCCCTCAAGCCCTATAGCAGGCCTTTCTACTCCCCAAAAACCTACAGTTGCAAAAAATGATAAATTTATATGCATAAGATTTCCTCTGACCACTCTCCCAACTTCTTCTCCTTCTTTCAGTACCTGATATTGCAAGTTCAAACCTGAGACATGTCAGCATCTGGGCCAATCTGTGTTTTGACCATCACTCCTCCAAAACCATTTTGCCCTCTGGTATACAACTGCTCCTCTCTACCCAAGGGTTCTGCATCTGAGGATTCAGCCAACCAAGGATCAAAATTATTGAGGAAAAAAAATTGAACATATACACATTTTTATTTTTTTGTGGGGGTGTGGTGGGTACTGGGAATTGACCCCAGTGGTACTCTTCCACTAAACTAGCCCCTCTTACCCCCAACCCCCTCCTTCTTTATTTTTTTTTTGGACAGGGTTTCACTAAGATGCCAAGGCTGGCCTTGAACTTGCAAATCTTCCTGCCTCCACCTCCCAAATTGCTAGGATTACCTCCTGACTTACACACCCTTTTCTTTGTCATTATTCACTAAAATGAACAGCATAGGAACCATTACATAGAGTTCACATTGTCTCAGGTATTCCTTGTGATCTGGAGATGATTCAAAGCATGTAGGAGGATGTCCATATAGATTAGATGTAGAAACTGCAACACGTTATTTAAAGGACTTGCATATTTTGATATCTACAGGGATTCTGAAGTCAATACCCTGTGGACATTGAGGATCCGACATCATTCGTAGGTGGAGTTTCTGCTACCTGGGTCACCTTTCCTCTTTACCTGTATAACTCCTGAATATTCTTCAAGGATCACTGAAAGACCTGCTTATCCAGGATGCCTGCTGCACTCTTAACTCAAGTCTTTTCTATGTCTTCCTGTATTTTTTGCTTCTTGCACGGGTCAGAATACCTAATACATTGCAGCAAAGAAGATCAGTTCTTCTACTGTCTTACTATGGGAAAAGCTACTTAAAGTTTACTTGAATAAATGCAATCATTTGTTCAGCGTTTACTGGTTTGTTTGGTTCCTGGTATTTGTCCTTGGGGACAAATAATTAAGAACCAGGTAGCCTTTATATCTTCAGTGGTTGGGGGCAGAAAAGCCACATCTCCAAATCATCACACTGTCATAGGCATTCTGTTTTTGGATATGGGCTGAATTGCAACATGTGGAAATAGTCATTTACCTAGTTATGCATCATTAATACCAATGAAATTAATCCCTTCCTCTTCTTCAGTTTCCTGTGAAATGAAAGACCCCAAATCCCTTTAACTCCCAAAGTCTGAATTTTTGAGCCACTTTAATTGTCCTTGTACCTGGAGCAGATTTCTGGACATTTTCTCTATGAAAAGATTTGATTCCTGCTGCACACAATTTGATTAAAAGTCTAAATTTAAACTACTCCCTTTAATACTCAAAATGTCTTCCTCTCCCAAATAGTGTGTGTTCTGATGTTAAAAGCAAGTCTAGGTGTGAATTGCAGCTCTGACAGTAGTTAATTAGGTGATCGTGGGTGAGTTTCTTAATCTTAGACTGTTTCCTCATTTGTAAATATATGAATAATCCCACATGATTCACAGGGGTTTTTCAATGATCAAATAAGACAGAGTAAATCATTAGCACAATAGTTAGCACAGAGGTAGTGCACAGTCAATGTTAGATATTTAATTGTTGTGACTCCCTCATTCATCCGTTCAATAAAAGCAGTGGCAGTATTATTAGTATTATCATGCTGAAATATTTTAGCATGAGTATTGTGATATGTAAGAGTGAGTTATATTTTATAATTAGCCTGTGACATATTTTAATCTGAATCAATACTAACATTTGTTAAATAGGAGTTATAGGAAATAGAAATTCTACAGTGATGGGATTAGTGGCATTAAAACTAAAGGTTAATGAGAAACAATAGAACAGATATGATAAGGTAAAAGAATTCAAGCAACCTTGATGTCTATATCAATCATGTCAATTGTGTTGCCCTTGATGTCAAGAGCCCCGTGGCCCTGCACCTACCTGTCCGGGGGGGGGGGGTCCTGCTGCCTTCTCTGCCTACCTGGATACAGGAATGCTCTTCTAAGGGAGCTTGTTTTGCAAAGAGTACGTGTGGAGTGCCTAAGCCTGCCTGTCCCGAATGACAGTTACAATTTACACCTGCTTGATAATAAACTTTGGAAAGTTTGTCATCAATTTGATTCATATTATTTGCAAGGTTTTAGGAAGAAGTAGGAACATCTCACCTTCTTCGTCTACCAGACTATTAACACAAATTCGACATCACCTGTCTGACTTGGATTCTTTACTGCACCAAGTATTTCCTCCATAGCTTGCCCATGATTTGCTAATTTCTTTCTCAACCAGTTCTATTGCCCTTCACTTCCCATAAGTCTTGGGTCAAAACTTCAGCCCATATAACACGTTTTCTTTACATTCCCTATAAGCAATAAATATTATACTGATATATAAAGGTATACAAATAAGAATTTAAAAATTTGTGAAAACTGTGCTGAAGATATTACAGGTGACTCACTGACTCTAAAATAAATAATAATAACATTCACAAATATTTGTTGAGAAAAATACCAAGACTTGGCATTATGCTTTAAAATATTTCTATGTTAAGTGAAATAGGAAGAAAGCTATTTTTCCTACAATGTCAAGAGGATCTGAAAAGTTTTTTTTTTAACTGATTAAATTGCAACTCATTTAATGATTAAATGCAACTTTCTACTTCAAACAGGTAAACAAATTTTACAGATTCAGGAATAACACAAACATAATAAGTAACCACTTTAGTTAAAACAAAATTTCACAAGACATTTTCTTTATAACAAGCTACAAATTTTATGAAGACAAGACACAGAATAAAGTGTCAATATAACAAGAAACAACCTTCACAGGAACTGGCTTCCTGTTTATGTTCTTCGTAAGTTCACGTTTAAATAACCTTCATAAAATAAATGTCTTGAAAATGTTTTCTAACCTTTCTCATTATCTATATAGCATGCCAAAATGGTATTATACTTGCAAAGCTTTAAGCCAATCAATGCTTGGTGGCCTTGGGCATCAATTTGCAACTTACAATTTTAGCTATATTCTTTTTTTTTTACAGAGAGAGAGAGAGGGAGAATTTTTTTAATATTTATTTTTTAGCTTTTTTCAGCGGACACAACATCTTTGTTGGTATGTGGTGCTGAGGATTGAAACCGGGCTGCACGCATGCCAGGCGAGCGCGCTACCACTTGAGCCACATCCCCAGCCCCCAAATTTTAGCTGTATTCTTTGGTCACAAAGTGCATTTGACAAAGACCTTTCTAGTCGCCCCATAACTCCTCCTCCCCATCTCCATCTCCTATTCCAACAGAGTCTTCTTGAAGTTCCATGGAAGAAAGGTCTGAGACTAGGGTGGTTTCCCTTTATATAGTTTATAAAGGTTGCATCCCTTTCCGGGTTTTGGAAGTCAAAATGTTAAGCATGAACTGCTTCTGATTCTTCTAATATTCCTAACAATGCTGCTTCCTTGGAGGGAAATAGAATGGGAGGCATGGAGTTAAGCATCTTAAGACCTTCAGTCTCCTGTCGTCCTCATCCTCCTTTCAGAGTGCAGGGTGTTTTGTGGTGTTATTGGCCTGGATAGCTGGGGATGCTGAGGTTCAGAGAAGCCCTAGGCTGCACCCGGTATTAACTTGTACACTGACTTTCCCTAACACAAACTGCTCATCAGCCCGCTGGCCTGTTAGAGACCACAGGACAAGCTTGAGCCTCTAACTTCTATTTCAAAGTCCTACTTTTCTCCCTTCTACCTCACTGCAGAAATGCAGAAGGGTGCCTTGCCTAATGGGAACTTTTACCAGGACCTTCCCAGGAGAACCTCATAAATGACATGAAGTTGGGGACAATAGCCATCTTAAAAATATAACAACAGAGATAGTACGTCACCAGAAAGATCAAGGAATCTAGCCAAAGACTAGAAGTCAATTTCAAGTTATCTTCAGGGAGCTAACATCATGGTGCCACTGTCAGATTTCAGCGGACAGACAGCCTGCATTCTGAGGCTGTTTATTTAACGTCCTGGTCACTGTTCTAATTTCTGCAGAACCTCTCCATTTCCCCCCCTCCTCTGTACTTCTCCTTCTCCTTGCTCCTGCTATTGGGGCTGCTTTGTCCTTCCCAGCTAGCTAGCAAGCTGGGGATTTTGTTTTTTAAGTATCTAATGGTTTTGATCTTCATCACAGATTCTTCCAGGGCTCTTTATACAATGTTTTAAAATAGCCTCTAGGATTCCTGGGGGTTATTAACTTACAGTGTGACGGTTCAGCCGCCCTGCCACCCCCGTGCCTACATTTTTTTTTTGAAAGTTCTATTTTCAAACATTAAATAACTATGCACTGAGCATCTTTTCTATAGTATCGGATTCCATGGAGAGGCTGTAGATATGTCTGTCTCCTGGGCAAGCTGGGAAGGGAGCAGAGTGGGGTAATTGAGTTTAAAATGAGTTGGCTGTATGTGTTTTATTGTTGTTAAAGATAGGTAACATAAAATTGGCCATGTCAGTCATTTTTTAGGGGTATGATTCAGTGGCATTAAGTTCATTCACATTGTTGTGCAACCGTCACCACCATCTACCTTCAGAGTCAGGTGTGTTTTAAAAAGGGCTTGGCCAAGCCCCAAAGGGCCAAATAGGTGGGAGGAGGGTGGAGGGGAAGGGGGATGGTAGGGGGAGGGGGAGGGGGGGGAAGTTCACCAGATTGGAGGGCAATGGGAGGAAGAAAGGGAGGATGGGAAAGACAGTAGAATGAGTTGGACATAACTTTGGACATAACTTTCCTATGTTTGTATATATGAATACATGACCAGTGAAACCCCAATCATGTACAACCACCAGAATGGGAAGTTAGATTCCATGTATGTCAAATACATTTGCTGTGTATCCTTTGGTTACACAGGACTAATATAATAATATGTCAAAATACATTCTACTGTCATGTATACCTAAAAAGAGTGAATAAAAAAAAGCAAACTCAGACTAAGGCAAGAAGAAAATAAATAAAATAAAAGCTCTTTAAAAAACAAAGGGGGTGAGGGGGCTTGGAACCTCAAGACAGGTGGCTGAATTAGGAAAAGCAGTTGTGTTAGTCAGCTTAAGCTGCTATAATCAAATTCCACATAGGGGTAGCTTAACTAATAGGGATTTATTTCTCATAATTCTGGAGAATAGAGAGTATTAGATCCAGGTGTGATCAAGGTAGGTTTCTTGATTGGTAGGTTGCCACCATCTTGTTGTGTGCTCACATGATTTCTTTCTTGTGTGCTTAAGAAGAGAGAGCGTACCCTCTGGTGTCTCTTCTTATAAGGGCACCAATCCCATTAGACTAGGGCTCCTCCCTCATGAACTTGTCTAACCCTCATGACCTCCCTAAAATCTCATTTTGAAATATCATAACATGTATAAATTTGGAGGGAGAAATCAATATGCAGCACATATCAATGATTTACTTAATGATGATAAAGAGCTAATTAGAAACAGATGGAACCAACAGAGAATTAATGTCGTGGCTGGAGAAACATTAGAGAACGAGGGAAAAGAGCTGGTTCAGAAGAAGGTTCACCTCTAGGGCTTGGGAAATAGCTAGAAAGTTCAGATTACTCCTCATGCATATGCCACATAATTCCAAAGTTATACCAAAGAATACCCAGAAAAATGTCTCTTTCTTACCCTGATCCTCCAGCTATCCAAAGACAGCCCCTATTCCAGCTTCTTGTGCATTCTTTTGTGTGTATGTGTGCCCATATGAAAAATTTTGCCCAAGTATAAATTTACACAAATAGTAGAAATATACTTGTTTCTGCAACTTATTTGCTTCATTTGCCATATCAGTATACATAGAACTGTTTCATGTCAATATATACACAACTGTTTCATTTCCTAAAACAGATTCATAGTATTTCATTGTTAAGTTTGAACCAGAATTTTTTTATAGGTTTGTTTTATTTGCTTATGGTTTGTCTGT